ATTCAGTCATGAGTATTTGATCATCTACTATAGTAACTTTGACGATTATTTATTATTGTTATTAACAGGTCATCAGTACGAAAATACATCGCATTATATGATTATTAATAATTATATTTTTTTAATTTATTCTATACGGCTGAATAATTGTAAATACTTCAATATATGTTGTATAATGTATTTCAGCATTGTTCAAAATGGCAAAGCCAACAAAGCAGAATGCTTTATGCCCAATTCCGGTTTTCTTTTGTATTTATATATCCTTTGATTCTCCAACAAATTTGTTCAATCGTTTTTGATTCATAAAAAGGATGCTTTATCGTATAATAGCCGTTTGATATAATATTTTACCCATATACTTAAGTAGGTACCTACTTTTAGTCGTTAAGATTACAAACTTCTACTATTATAGTTTCATAAATAAATAAATAAACGCATTCAAGGTTTTACTTAAAATGGTTAWAAGATCGCAATAAATTAGTGTTTTATTTATTATATTTTTTTTTATCATCACAAACAATTGATTTTCAAACAAAATAATAAATCTGTAACCAACATATTATGTGATTAAGCATTATTGTACAATTTATTGACCATTATCTATCGACAACTTGCACTTAGGTACATTCGAGCAAACAATTTAAACTAAGCATAGCATTATGGTATATTATAAGATAAGGTTACAGATAAATCACGCATGGCGTCATCTCTACTCCATATTTCATGTAATACCTACGACCTATTGACCAACACGGGTGAAAGTTGTAATTTATGGTAGGTGCCTATAAAATGTATGAAATGGCGTACTCACTAGAATTTGTATTTTTCGAGGGATTAGCTCTAATAAAAAGCCGGTTGTGTAGGTATGATTTAATAAACGGCAAACGTACATATACGAAAGTATTATTACAATCGAATAGCATATATAATGCAGGACGAGACAGTATATTATCTGAGTGCAAGAATGACTTAAATTGTAGGTCAAGTTAAATGCTGTACGTGAAATATAAAATACGAACTATGTACCTATTGTACCTATATTTAATGTAAGTGCATGTACGTGCTACAATAATTTTGTTGTTTATCCCCGTACTGATCGCATAAAATATGGTAATAATATCAAGGTAAATAATGTAATTTCCCTCGAAGACTTATATATTTTATTGTGGTGATTTGGTGTATCAATAACACTAGGGACTTTAAGTTATATTGACCGGGATTTCGGTTGGGAAGAGTGTGGAAGCTTAGACAAATATAATTTGTATCCTTCTTGGAATACGCGGTTATTCATGTCATGGCATATTATATTATTTTTAAAAGTATAAATACAATATAGCACGATATTGAAGCAGTATTATTTACTGGTTAACTGACCAGTGACCCGCAGGATTCACGTTACAAAATAAATACAGTTATACAAACCTATAATAATATTCAAGTGGTATATTTAAAAACACACAATTCATCCCTTGTTTGAATTTAAAATTTTTTTTTTTCTTAACACACATCGAGTATACAATGTCGTCAAGTGGATAATTAAGAAACTAAAATAACTAACAATTTTTTTTATATATTTTGTTATATTTAAAAACAAATATAACAACAACTATTTTTAACACACACAATTTAGATTATAATATATATTTATAATAATATACTGCATTATTGATTCGTTTTATCATTATATTAAGATTTTAAATAATACACTTAAATCTATACATTATTGTGTAACAATGTTTTGTATTAAAAATGTAGGTATGTGATTATAATAATAGGTAGATAAACTTTTATGATATATTTTAACTAAATGACTCGTTATTGGAACATGAAAATATTGACWAAAAAAAGCTTAGTTATATTATATTTTAATCAATATAAGTTTTAAGTAATAATAATAATACCTACAAAATTATTATATTGTAATAATGCGAAGTCGAATAATATATGTCACTCAAAATGTCTAAACTAATTTAATATTAATAATAGTTACAAATTTACAATAATAGTATTGTAGGTAGTAATAAAAATCGTAAATCAAGAGGTTGAATGGAATGAAGAACCTTTGTATTATAATATTAATGTATAAGTACACACGAATTATTATTTTTCCAACAAATTGGTTTAAAACCCGTAATTTAATGTGATGTGATGCCAGCTCAGACATATATTTTATACTGCCGGGGGGGAAGGTAGCGAAATTTTAAACTAAGMCTTTTTTACATATATATTTTAACATTTAATTTATATTGATTATGGCATAGAATTATATAAGCGTTTTGAAATTATCTTTTCTGTCTATGTACCTGACGCCTGTGTTAGGTACCTGTTTATGAAGTTAAAGTTTAAGATGTGACATAATTTTATCTTGTTTTATTTGTTCGATTTAGATRGTTTATCTATTCAACACTAGTTGTACACCAACAGTTTTACTTATAGGGTATCCTTAGAAATAGATCAACAGTAGTGTTAACAGCAAAAATTATACCGAAACAAATATATATGATTATAATAGTTAAAAACTTGGTCAAATTTTAGTAAATGTTAAAAATGGTATGAATACTTATTACCTAATATATCACTAAAAACTAATAACAAAGAAAAAATATTAAAGCTTAAAAAGCGTAAGTAGTTTTTTTCCATACAATTATTTGATTGAAAAAAAAATATATATAGGTAATAAAAATATAATAACATTGCAAAATATTCAGTTTAAACTTTAAATAATAACTAGGTATAACGAAATAATAATAAACATGACACATGATAAGCTAAATTCACATTGATTTACACTCCCCCTTGAGTTTCACCGGTCATGTTGACTGTTGTAATATAATAATAATATGCATAATATGATGGTATTTAATATCAATCTAAAGGTGGCAATAATATTATAATATTTTGATATTAAACGTAGGTGTGATATTATTTTGTAAGTCGCACGCGCTATTAAAGTACACGGAGTATAAAGTGGTTAGGTCCCACATAATTCAATTATTGTATGTAGGTGAACCAATATCTGGTAYTTAAATGTCGTCCAGCGGTATTTAACAACCCAATTTAGAATGATAAAGAAAATAAGAGGGGCATTTTTGGTCGTATATTATAATAATATTACAATGCAGTCACGTCGGTAAATATGCGACGTGATAAAAAAAATCTATTATAATATATATTATAATTGGCAATAAAAGGTTGTACCTTTTTAAATCGTACATTTTGTATGTGTCGGAAATGACCAGAACGTGAACTTCGAAATCGCTGTTTGAATTATCGCACGTTATATGTTCGATTTTTTTTTCGTATGAACATATTTTAATTTAATTTTATACAATATTAGGTACAATACAACACACGTCCGATCGGATAAGTATTTTCGYACACTTATATTATATTTTAAACTACGTTATTATTGTTATTATTATATCATTATTATTATTAAATCTAACTCTATACGACGTGCCGGTAACAGTAGTGTGTATAATACAACAATATAAATGTYGTGAAGGGGGAGGGGTGGTTTAATAATGTATAGGTACAACAATTTTTAAGTTTCTGACCACGTAAGCTAACGATCACCGACGACGACGACGATAATAAATAAAAAATATAAATTAGTGACAATATTATTATTAACATCAACTTTTTTTTTTTACATACTATATTTTGAAAAATCGGACGATTGCGTCTACTTTTTTCACACATTCGCAATCACATAAAAATTATATACCCATCGCGTTTTATTACTACCGCCATGGAGATGATTATTATTATTATTATTGTTGTCGTAAACGATTATGTATCTTTATAAACAGGCCGGTGACGATGTTGTCGCAGAGTGGAGCTAAATAATGATATTATTTTAATGTCCAAGACTAAATACTCGTTTGGGCTAAGCATGGTGTCTGGTCTGTTCTCGGTCGTCGTGTGCTGGCGGGATCACGAGCGCAGGTCGGTTGTGTGCCGCGCGCTCCTGCTGCAGTCTCCCCGCGATATCCAGCGCCCGGCCAGGTTCTGTCCGACGGTGGTGGTGGTGGTTGTTCTGCAAGTTCACCGGTTCCGGTCGCAGTTCCTGGTTGAATATTGGCAACCGACAGTGTCTGGACCACTCGTTCTGAAACAAKATAGCAATATTGTGTTATTTCTACGATAAGGCGGTCTACAGTGCTTATAAATATTGTTATTATTATCATCATAACAATAAGTACTTTATTTAATTTATATTTTTAACAATTATCACCAACTTAATCGGTTGATTTTAATATTTTTGTTTTTAAACTTTTTATAGTTACCTAATTATTATCATTGTGTAGTTAAGTTGATTTTTTTCGTATGATGMGGAACCARCATAATACAAATTCGTTAAATCTTTTTAGATCTTAGTAGGTATATGTAATAGGTAATATAATATCATAATAACTTAATGTTTGCAGAAAGTCAAATGTATTAGTTAATGTTAGTGTAAATCAAAATACTTAGTACTTAATAAATTAATGTAGTTTGGAAAAATTAACTTTTTTTTGACTGAGATAAGTTAATTGTGTTTTCCATTTTAAGTTTAAACTTGTCGAGTTAATTTTTTTCTTTATTAACTTATATTTTTTTTGTGGGAAGCAGTTAAATGGAAGCATTTAGGTTTCTGTAAGAAAAACAGCTAACCTATATGAAGAATTTTKTATATTGACTAARTAATTGAATAATTTATTTTGTCAAAAGTTAATTCAAATTAATAAACAACAAAGAGAAAAAATAAATTACTAATAACAATATAATTAATACAATAAAACATTCTTGAAAATATAAGTCAGTGGATAAATTTTGATCAGAAATGGAACCGTTTTTCGTATCCAATGGTTTAAAATGATTTCCATTGTACCTATTTTAAATTTAACAAATTCATCATAGTGACCTACCGACTCAATCACTACTAAATTACAAGGAGCACTCAACATCTATAATTACTCAACAACAGAAAACGACTTGTCCGTTGTTTTTTTTTTAAAGAAATTGTTATAATAACCTCCTCCATAATATTATCATACATAGATCCGTACAGCAATAACATTGCAATAACAGACGATATTAATCAACCTCAGTACATGCCACATGGTGATTAATATAGGTACATAATAAATTCATATTCGAAGTGTCGATAAGTAGGTACATATATTTTTTTACAATTGAAGACCTTGGGGAACTTAAATCTACAATTTTTTTTAAAATTCTAAATTTTTTTTTTTGAATTTATGTTTTTTTTGTTTTCTGAATAAAAATAAAAAAAGGACATGACGTCTGGTTATTGCCCCAAGGTCTTCAATTATTTTTAATTTAATATTGGTATATTGAAAATCGTTCATGTAGTCATTATACATTCAAATTATACCAACACATCTATTTTTTGTTCAATTTATTGAGTACTATTTTTATAATTATTTTTCTGTAGAATACAATACGAGTATCGGAGTAGGTACCTACGTAGTATCGTGATTATATAGTGATCAATCTAAAGAGACTACAACGACGGGTGAGTCTACATAGATTGATTTGTAGGATTATTAATTGTGATTGTGTATAATAGGTACCTACGTGTTTTTTTTTTAATTCATGTTAGAGCCAAGGGGTTGGACTTATAATAATTATATGCATAATGTACACGCTTTAATATCTATATACTCGTAGAAATGCAGTATGATCACACATATTATATTTTAATAAATAATAGCAAAAAGTCGAGGTAGTCGGGAAATACGATCTAGCATTAATAAATAATAATAATCCGTCTAAAACGTAGCATATTTTGTTAACCTTTTTTTTACCATTTTAATTTTATAAATTGCATTTTGAATAATAAATTCGATTGTAAGTAATTAATTTTACTGGAACTATTCGTGGTGGATGAAATAAAAATAATAACCTTTACAAACAATGCAGTAAAATTAAAACTGATTTAGAATTAAAAATTGCTGTTTAAAATGTACCTACCTACTAAAAATAACTTTAATCTGTAAAAATATATCAATAACATCTTCCATCAGACATTAGGCTTTAGGCATTATCATATTATTATTATACCTATACAATATACACCTACGTTTAAAGAAATTAGCATGTAATGTTATTGTTTCGTTTTTATTAAATTCAGTTATGTTTTCAAACTTGTAGTAATAATATTGTTAATTAATTTATGTATGTATGCTTACGCACATTATGTATCCTACCTATCTATATAGTGTTGAGCAAAAGAAGAAATTGAAATGTCAACGTCGTAATTTACTTTAATTTACATTAAAAAAACATTGTATTGCAATTCATTGCAATATTATMTGCATAAATATTACATAATAATATAGAACACTCCTATTTTTTTTTTTAAGTGTTGCTGACATACAAGGTCATCGAACTTATTGATATAATAAAAAATTTTAACATCATAAAGTTGTTAAGCGTAAATTAATTACAATATATACAGTAAATTACAAAGATGAATAAATAAATAATAAAATATGACATCATGATAATTAGTTAATCTAAGTGTATTTTTTTTTTTTTTTTATTGGTGTTGAGAAAGGGCATCATGAGGACGTCCGCGCTTGAGACGCCGGAGGGTAGGCTTATCGTTGAGTTTGAAATATTTTGCACTTTTGGTGTTGTTAAGTTGGC